TGTCATCCTCGATATTCCAGGAGTTATATATACATGTATGCTCACTTACACGCTGCACCCTTGGAAACTGTCATAAAAAAATGAAGGGCATGTATATATGCTGCTAGCTATTTGATTGATCTCTGTTAAAATAAACCTTACCAATCTCTAGGCAGATATCTGTCCTTTGAAGATGACAGAAGAGCTACACCAGAATTCTAAGACAATCAATCTTATTGTTATGTGGTGGTGATATTCTTTTAATGTACATCAAAGGATCCAACTAGCGTTCTTGTCTCATCCACAAGTTTGCACACACTGAGCCTTCGATAATGTCATGACATATATTCCAGGGATGCAGAGAGCATAGGTGAGCGTAACACCTGAAGTATTGAGGATGCATTTGAATAATAATACATAGATAGATATACACGTATAGTATGAGTAAAAAGAAAGATCCGTCCTGGAATACAGCTCTGACCTAGTATCAGAAGAAGATGATGCAATGTGAGCAGGCCTAGGCTACATGTAGTTCGATCCTTTTTATAAGATCCTTCATAGGCTAATGGCTTTATCTGTGAACCGAGGTCTTGAACGAGATACAAAAATCAGAGTGAACACAAAATCAGTCGAAACTTCAAACAACATGAACATTGACTACAAATACAGAACTCTTCTAATGCATGACACGAAACTGGAATTCCTTACACGACAACAATGTTCAAAAGACGATACGATCAGATGTCATCAGATAGGGAGTCTCGGCAGTTTTTATAATCCCTTTTGCATGTTTTTGCCCATTAGTTAGGTTGCCGTCAGTACATGTAACAACAATTTTAAAAATACCTCAACTTGCAACAACAAATTATATATACAATATATACAATTGTATATACAGAAAAAATAAGATTAACAACCAACTTAAAAACTAGCTGCTTTCACCCTTCACAGGGCTCTTCAGGTTTATTCAATTGTATATATATATATATATATATATGCATGCATAGTTACATCTACAATAAGAAAGTAGAGGAATATTACAGGGGTCGACACTAACACTAGTCTGGCCTGGACTAGTAGCTATATAGATTTCAGCAAGGACTAGTGAATCACCAAACCTAACTGGTCCTTTGGACTTGTGAAAAATATGATTATAGAATAAAAATATTCCTTTTTAAAATTTAGAAAACTGCTTAAAATAAGAAATATTGCATGATAATTGTCCAAATTTTCCAAAAACCTTTACCATATTTTTATCGCAGTTATTTTAAGTCCTCTACAGTCGATTACTTTTGATGTTTCGTGCTGTAGATCGTGATGTTTCCTTAAGGAAATCTTGGACTAGTTGTAATTCCATTGACGAAGGACTCGTAATTATTAATTATCTATTAAAAAAAGTTAGTGTATAACCTTGATATTATTTTGTCATTGTATAGTAAGACTGTTCATACAGGCGGTATGAGATTTGGCAGAATTTTCATAATCAAGTAGCTATATAGATACTGTGTAGTGTTAAAATGGCAAAAACGTTCATCATTTATGTTAAACTGATTTATGCGTAAACATGTGCAGATGTGACAGCAATATGTGTGCTGAAAATGTGGAGACCAAAAACACCATAAATGTTTCAAAAATGGCCTCCTTCATCCTGGAACTTGAAAGTTTTATACCCAATTTTTCGGCCCTACATTAGTTTTCAGTACAGTACAGAAAATAAATAAGCTGTAGTTTTGGACACCAAAGCTAATGAAAGTTTAAGTCGACAATAAAAAGAAGGTATTGATATATATATATATGACAATGATAGAATTTCAGAGATATTTTTGTTTAAACTGAAGAAATGGGAAGATAAAATGAAATGGTCAGTATTATCACAAACTGTAAATTTAAACAATTAATGTGTATTATTAGCTGTATGTTGAAGTACCTTTTTAATGAAATTACCGGTACATTTCAAGGGAGATGGCTTTGTATAAGATTTAAAATCTTGTTGCCAGATTGTATCTATTAATATTCCTATTAACCTGTGTACTTATATATGACGTATAAAATCAAATATTGTTTAACTCATTTACCCCTGAAATTTTATAATGGACTATTCCAATCTTTGATTTTGAAAGTTTCAAATGCGTCTTCAGGGGTGAATGAGTGAAACTGAAATGGGAAGATGGCTGTGTTGATGCTCGATCAAAGCATCTTTCTGCATTTTGGACTGAAATTTAAGTAATTTCCTCAAAATGTCTTTTAGGTGCAATGTCAACATTTAATTGACATAGATATCGGTAGTATAAATTCCAATCATACCAACACTATTTTAGCTTCAGCTGTGGAGAACTTCTCTTTGGCTCAGTGGTTGAGCGTCAGACTAGAAAATCTGGGATCGCGGGTTTGAGCCACAGTGAACGCACATACATATGTATTCTTTTCGCTACTTCTTCCTATTTAAAATTAGTGTCCCCTCCTTGTTCAAGATGGTGAAGAAACCCTTGGCGGGGAGTTAAAAAGAACTTGGGATTGTAATTTGTACAGTAGTTGTCTTCTTTGGGAAAGACATGGAAAAAGGGGGGAGTGTATATAAGTGTAAAGGATGTGCATTGTACATAGTGTCATAGTTGCCTAACTAGCTTCGGCTAGGGGAAGTTTCCCTTTAACTCAGTGGTAGAGCGTCTGACTAGCAAGTCTGGAATCACAGGTTCGAGTCCCAGTGATCATGAATGCACACATTCTTTTCACCACTTCCTATAACGCTAGTGTCAATGCAAGTTATTGACAACACATTTTAACCTATCACAAACATTGCCCCAATTAGCCTTGCCAACTGGACAACACCTGTGAGAGGTGCTAATTACTTTAGATCCATTTCCAGTGTGAAAGATGGGCATGCGCATATACCGGTACCACTGCCAGTGGGAGCCTATAGCTAGCTACCCCCATTCATCACTACAGTGCCACAGGACATCTTATATCCCGGTTGGACCCAGGCCAATCCGATTTGGAAATTATTGCAGTGATCAGCCCTGACATCAGCCCAGATACCTCCTATATGTGTATATGTAAAACCTTATTGTATACATCAAATAAATCAATGAATTGTATGGAAGAGAATCACTGCCATATACCTCATAATTATTAACCAAGTCTTTATTTCTAAGTTATTAAATATCCAAGTTGTTACTTTTAATTTATTAGACATTGTCAATTTATATTTCTAATGTCTTAAACATTGGAATTTTTATTTCCAATCTTAAATTGTATGGAAAAGAATTACTGCCATAACATATTTACCAACTTTTTGAAATTTCCATGGGGGAGATTCTGCATGCTCAAAATTAAAACATAAATAATATGTGTGTGTATATATACCCCCTAGAGACAAAAGAACCCTTTACAATTACATACTTTCAGTTGTTCTTTCAGATGAGATCATTTTATTAGCTCACCTGGCACGAAGTGCCAAGTGAGCTTATGCTGTGGTGCGTCGTCCGTCCGTCGTCCGGCATCAATATTTTACTTTAAACGACTTCTTCTTAATAACCGAAAGGCCTAGGGTGATAATATTTGGCCAGAAGCAAACTGGGATGAAGGGCTACCAAGTTTGTTCAAATAAATGACCTTCATCTATTTTCAAGGTCACAGGGGTCAAATATGTTAAAAACTTTAAACAACTTCTTCTCAATAACCAAACTGCCCAGGGAGATGATATTTGGTCAGTAGCATGCTAGGGTGAAGGGCTACCAAGTTTGTTCAAAT